AGCAAGTGTTAAGAGGTAAAAAATGTATAATCCAACTCTCCAGAAGGAAGAAGCAGATTTTTCACTTTTGTTCAGAGATTTATTGTTACACATAGGAATTGGGCTCATCTGGAAAAACTCATTCATGCATGAAAATCCGTTTCAGTTCATGAACCCCCCTTTCTCTACCATGCTCCTTCCTTTCTACAATTCTCCTTCTTCACTTGATTAGACATTTTATTTTGCTCATCCATTAATTATATTTCATTGGTTCTTTGTGTTATTCTATCTACCCTCCATCTTTCCTGTAAGTATGGGTTTTATGTGAAGAATGCCCCAGTCGTGTACACATCCCAGGACATTAAAAACAATGACCATATTCAGAATTTTTGGACATTACTCCCATGGGAACAGCCCTTTGGGGAAACCCGCCATCTTCTCCTGGTAAACTTTATCAAAGGCTTCAGCTTGGGCCACTGTGAGGTGATTCTTCCAGTCCCCAGAGATGCCTGGAAAACATGAAGTAGACACAGGTCAGATCTAGGGAGAGGTCTTAAGTCTGCTACCTCCTCCCTGCTCTGTCAAGACAGCAGAGTGACCCCTGGGTCATTGGTGAGGCCTTCTCCTGCCTGGCCAACATACATATTTAGAAGTCTACCTGCTGGGAATGTGTGTCCTGACTTCCCTCCCTTTTCAAAGCAACCTGTACAGAATCTATGAGCAGCAATGCTGGGTATAAATCAGAAGATCTGGATCAAAATTAATTCTGAACACTTCTTTCTTGAGAACTGTGGCTCAATCTAACAATTTATGACTTGAGTGATCAGAGCAGGTCACAGTAGTCTCTCTGCTTTTGGCCAATCCCTGTGATCACTTCTTCTGTAAGAGAAATCCATGTTGACTCCTTGCCAAATCCAGTGGCTCCTGTCACTTGTGGCTCAGAGTCTCCTCAAAATTCCAGTCTCCTTCAGCCAAGTTCCCTGGTGCTTTGAGGTCTAGGTGTAGGGTCCTTCTTTGTTGGAACTTCATCCCTGAGAATGCCCATTTGCTCTCTTTGCTTCATGACACAATCTTCAGATTCAGCTTCAGACATTTCAGGGTGCCCCCTCCTCAGGGGTTTCACTTTACATGCTTTTTACCCCAGAGTGCTGTTCTAGGAGACATTCACCTCTGGTCCATTGGCCTCACTCAAATATCAACTCCAATGCAGTGACTCAGTGGGGCTCTCAGTCCAGAACCATACATCTCCATCCTCATTCACTTCATAGCAATGATCAAACATGAGATGTTCTGTGTACTTCCTTTTTGAAGGTGCATAAGGTATGCATTTCTAACATATTAGGAAATCAAAGCTTTGTAAATTGCCTAAGATTTAGAGTTTAGAGAATATATGCTCAATAATAATTGTTGAAAGGTTTAGCAAAGAATGAGTAATATACTAGCATATTATCCAATTTTATAGGAAAGGATTTTCAAAAAGCCATGGAGGTGTTACCACATGAGAAAGTGGCTGATGAAAGGGCTGCTAAAGATATGGCATAAGTCCTACACTTTACCTATGTGGTTACAGTATTGTGGATATAAATCAATTTTCACATAGTAGGCCAATCTAATTAGTTAAAATATTAATTAAATTATGTATTAAATATAGAATAATAGTTAAGCTTATATATGTATGCATTCGGACAATACACTCATATGAATGTAAGTAGCAGAATGTCTAATATGTAACTGCTATCCTATAACCATTCATCCTTCCTCCCATGTTCACTGATATCTTCATTATCTGAACAATCTTCATGTGATTCCTTCTGCTGGGCAGGTGCTCTCTCTCTGAGCCCCAGCCCCAGCCCAGTCCTGTTTTCTCTCTCTGTGCTCCAGAAGCACTGGTTGGCAGGAATCCTGACCTTTTGAATATCTTTTGAAGAAAGATGTGACTAGGAGGAATTTTGGTAAAACAGGTTCTGCATGTACTTGAAGTAGACATTTTCAGTACACCTGAATCCAAGGGTGTAGTTACGATTCATCTCTCAATACAGAAAGGAGGACTTACAGTGTCTCAGAGCAAATAACCCACTCCCTACTTTCTCCAGTTTGGTCTTTGTGTATCTCTCTCTTTAGGGCAGTTCTCTATGGTAAGTCACCAGTGGAGTAGCCTAGACACGACCATCTCCAAAACCCATCCTTCTCTCCAAGACTGAATCAACTTTCTGTGGTACCTGCAGTCCATCCGAGTCCCATGAAAGCATTTTTTTTCCATTAGGGCACACAAGAAGCTTTCTTGATTATGAATGATTCAAGTTAATACCTTTCAACACTCTCACCCTTATTGTTGGGTGGTAAACATAGAATGCTCTCCAAGCATTCTCACACATTCTGAAAACAGAGCAGTTACCTTTTCTTGTAATTTTTAAATGCCTAGAAGAGAATTCTTCAGGCAATATTTCAAGATTGGACATCTTGTTTTGATTCATGACTTGGAAGGAGCAATTCTTGAGGACTGAGTCGAGTTTTTCTGGATTTAGCTTCTTTCCCAGGAACTGACAGATCCTCTCTATGGTGCTTCTTGGGTCCTACAATGTGAACAATCAAGAGTGATGCTCTGAACAGGAAGGACAGCAGAGATGGGAAATGGGAACAGAAGTGTTAGGAGGGTGTGGGGGAGGAAGAGGAGAGGACGACATCTCAAAATGGGAAAAGACTGAAATGGGTGATGGACGGAGGGAGAAAAAGGGCAAGGGGCCAGCAGAGGGAGTGAAGGATGTAGTGACGTGAAGATCAACAGGGGCTTTCCAGTGAGAGTGAGCTCAGGACGCCCAAAGGCAGGTGTTGGGATTTCTAAAGAGACTCTTAAGAATGGAAGATAATTGCCAGCTGACAGGAGTGAGATGAAATCTTAGAGTAGTTTTGATTTGCATTTCTCTAACTCTTTTCACATATTTTTTGATCAATTGTATTTCTTCTTCTGTGAAGTGTGTACTCAGTTCATTGGCCCATTTATTGATTGGGTTATATGTTTGTCTGGTGTTAAGCATTTTGAGTTCTTTATATATCTTAGAGAATAAGGCTTTATTGGAGGTGGATGTAGTAAAAATTTTCTCTCAATCTGTGGGTTCTCTCCCTACTTTGTGAATTGTTTCCTTTTTAATTTGAATCTATCTCACTCCTGTCAGAATGGCAATAATCAAGAATACAGGCAATCATAAATGTTGGCAAGGATATGGGGAGAAAAGGCACACTCATTCATTGCTGGTGGGACTGCAAATTGGTGCAACCACTATGGAGAGCAGTATGAGATTCCTTAGAATATTGGGAATGGAATCACTATTTGATCCAGCTATCCCACTCCTTGGTTTATACCCAAAGGACTTAAAATCAGCGTACTACAGGAACACAGCCACATCAATGATTATAGCAGCTCATTTCAAAATAGCTAGACTGTGAAACCAACCTCAATATAGATGAATGGATATAGAAAATGTGGTATATATACTCAGTGGAATATTGCTCAGCTTTAAAGAAGAGTAAAATTATGGGATTTGCCAATAAATAGTTGGATTTGGATAATATCATTCTAACGAAAGAAGCCAATCCCACAAAACCAAAGGCCGAATGTCTTCTCTAATATGCGACTGCTAATTCACAATAAGGCAGAGGGCACTAGGGAAGAATAGCTTTACCTTAGATGAGGTAGAGAAAAGTGAGGGGAGGGGAGGGGTAGGGATGTGGACATAGGAAAGATAGTAGAATGAAACAAACATTATTACTCTATGTATGTATGTGACTGCATGACCCATATGATTCTGCAACTTGTACACTCAGAGAAATGAGAAATTATATCTCTTCTCTGTATATCAAAGTGCATAAATACATTCTACTGTCATCTTCAACTAATTACCCCAAATAAGAAAATTTTAAAAAGAATGGAAGATAAATAAGGGAGACAAACCCCCAAAGACTAATCCTTTCACCGAATGATAGTGTGTCCCATAAAGGACCCTTGAATAATACAGAGGATTTCATAATATCTTTCTAAACCTGAGGCCCATGATTATTGATGTATATTTCTGGGAGATCACACCAAGAAATTGATCTTTATAAGAAGAAAGGATTGCTTAGAATCCTAGACCTTCCTCTTCAGACTATAGTCTTTATTATCTGCTTTTTTTACAAGAGCCCCAGTCACTATATAGCAAGAAGACACACAACTGTGGCAATAATTTAAAAATGTGTTGTGTGATTTGAGAGGAGAATCACAGGGGCATGTAGGAGCTTGCTGCTGAGGTGGCTGAAGGTGGCATCAAGTCTTTGTTGAGAACCGACCTCATGCTGAGGACACAGAAGGACAGGAAGCAGCTGCAGGAATGTGACCAAGGTCCTTTCTCCAGGGGAAGTAGATGCCTGTGCCTGTGGCATCTTCTCTGTCCCCAAGACAGGCTACAGGCCAAATGTCTCCTAAAGTTCTGTTCACTCTTTTGCTTTTTTAATATTGTTTCCAATTCTAATAAAATCTAAAAATTTTAAAGTTTTCAATTACTTGTGGATGTATGAAACTCACAAAGAGAACTGTGCATCTTTGTGCAGTTCAGTGTGGCATTTTGGTGCTCAACAGAAAAATAAGGTTAGAATAAGTACCTATTCAATATGTGACAATCCAATCTGTACAAGTGGCACATCTACAAACTCAGACATGAATAATTTATTTAGATAGGAACACTGAAAACCCTCTCTATATGCTAATTTGAAATATATATTTACTGTTCTCCATAGTTGCCACACTGTGCTACAAGTCATTAGCAGTCATTTCTGTTACCCATCTGTACCCTGCACACATTCACCAGTATTGAGCATCATCTGCAGGCCTTTTCTGGTACTCCAGACCCTGACCTCTCAGAATAGATACACAAAGTGACAATTCACCTTTATGTCACTGCATCAGTCATTGGTAGAAGACAGAGAGGTGGACACAACTCTGGGTTCAATGCTTTCTGGCCAATCCCTTCTTATCACCACGTTTCTGTGAACATCATAGGTCCTGCACACAGCAACCTTGACAACCACAGATACTAGCTTAAGCCATGACACTATGCTTTGGTGTGTGGAAGGGCCCTTTAGATGGTTGTCAAATGAAATAAATTTGAAGACATGAAGAAAATGCTTGGACCAATCTGTCAAAACCAAATGCCAAAATTTTTCTCTGATTTAAGGGTGCTGCTTCATAATGTGGTTGGGGTGGGGCAATGGGAGGATTAGGTAAACTCCAGAAAGGCAAAGGGGAGGAGGGAAATCCAGGGGCATGAGGGTAGGAAACATGGTGGAATGACATGGAGCTTATTACCATAGTGCATATATGAAGACATAAATGGTGTGACTCTACTTTGTGTTCAACCAGAGATACAAAAAATTGTGCTCCATGTGTTTAATGTAAATTGTAATTCATTCTGCTGTCCTATATAACAAATTAAAGAAAAAGAGTTTGGAGCTTGGAGAGGGTTATGCAGAAGCAGGGCAGTGGAGACCAAGGGCTCATCTACTCTTAGTGACTTCTGAGAGTCTATGTTTTGGCAAAGAATATGGAGTGGTGACACTGAGGACCTGGGGCATCAGAGGAAACAAGGATTGTCAGGAGTTGGTGGGTGCTGAGTTTGAGAGGGACTTCACCTTCTGCAGTTCTTCATAACTCAGCAGCAGGATGTTCTCTTTGTCTCTCAGGGACATCCAGCCACGAATGTGCTCAAACCATGATCCATAGGGCACTGTTGGGAAGGCACAGGTGCAGGTTACATACTACCATAACAGGTTCTTTGTCATCCCTGTGACTCTAAATCCTGACATCTTGTACATGTATAATTGCCAAGTGCTCCTCAAACTAGGTTCTGAAGTAGAGAGGGGGATCATTCCTGAATTCATTCTATGAAAGTATTTTCATAATGATATCCAACCCGGACAAAACCATATCAAATAAGAAAACAACAGACCAATATTCCTGATGAACACAGATACAGAAATCCTTATTAAAATATTAGCAAATCCTATTTACCATTAAGATTACACACAGGATATGTTGTATTCACACTTTAAGATTATACACATAGCATGTTGATTTAATTCCTGGGATGCAAGTTTGGTTCAATACATGCAAGTCCATAAATGAATTTCACCACATCAATAGAATTTTCCTTGACAGAGGAACTTGGCTGAGCATCATAAAGGCTATATGTGACAAACCCTAAGCCAACATCATGCTGAATGAAGAAAATCTGGAAGCATTTTTTTCTAAAATCAGGAAGAAGGAAACGATGTCCACTCTCACCATTCCCATTCATTAGAGTTCTTGAAAATTTAGTTGTGAAGTCAGACAGAGAAGAGAATCAAAAAATCACAAGTAGGAAAGAAAGAATCCAAATTATCACTGTTTGCAGATGATATGATGCTGCTTGAATTCCCCCAAAGCTCTCCCAAAACACTTATAAACTGGTACCTGTTGGGAGTCATCCCGCCTTCAAAGAGTAACTTCCTCATCCCCCGAGAAGAGCCATCCAATGGTGAACTCTGCTGGCTCACATGATCCTTACACACCACTCAGACTAGCCCTGCTGGCTCACATGATCCTTACCCACCAATCAAACAAGCCCTGCTGGCTCACATGATCCTTACCCACCAATCAGAAAGCACCCCATGCCAACTGTCAAACCCTTCAACCATTAAAGTGTCATAACTGTCAAACCACCCCTGGCTCTATAAATATGCAGAGCTGTTCCTCAATAAATGTGCATTTTCTATGACACTGAGCCTTGTTTGTTCTTTTATTGGTGCCGAAACCCGGGAAGGGGAATGCCTCATGTCTCGAGGGCCCCCTGTCTCAAGGCTTGCTGTCCTTGTCCACTCTTTCAAGTGCTGCTACTACTCACACAACACTGGCTCTTCAGTAGGTGAGTTCCCCTATCGGGCATGCAACTTAAGACAAGCTACAAAGGGGCTTTGAATGTGTTCATCCAGCAAACCTCTGATGCCCAAACTGGAGGAGAGAACACACACCACCACAACTTTCTGGAACCTGGTACATGAGCGGGATGCACTGAGGGATGGAAGGATAGGCACTCCTCTCTCTCTCTCTCTCTCTCTCTCTCTCTCTCTCTCTCTCTCAACCACCCTTGTCCCGCTCCTGACCTGTGAGGGCCTCTTCTTCCCTCTCTGCAGACTCCCTCTTATTAAATTCTGCACAGAAGATTGGGCTTACTATCAATTGGACAATCAAAGTCAGTGGCCCCCAGGAGGATCCCTAGATCCTGCAATTCTCAGAGGTCTGTTTAACTTCTGCGAGTGCTTGAAAAGGTGGAAGGAAATCACCTATCTTGAGGATTTTTCTCTGCTTCATCTCACCCCGACCTGTCTAGCAGATGATCCCACTCCCTCCTGACTTCCCCTGTTGCTCCATCAAGCCCCTCAGGTGCTCCCCCTGACTTGGCTGACACCTTTAGTCCCCACAAACTAGGTCCTGAGAGTTTCAATGGGTCCTCCAGGCTTATAGCCTTACTTGATACTCTCCTTCCTGAAGAAATGTATCAGAGTCTGGGAACTTGCCAGAGTCCATGCGGATGAAACTCACTGAGTTAATCCCAATCACTCCCTGGGGCCACTTGCTGCCCCAGATCAAACTCCCGACTGGGATTATACACAAGCTGGCATACAGAGTAGGAACCGATTCTCTGTTTGTATTATTGCTGGGTTCAAAAAAGCAGCACATAAGGCCGTCAATTTCCAAAAATTATAAGAGACCCCAACAGAATTTCTGGATTGGCTTACAAAAGCCCTTCAGTAGTAACCTAGATCCCGAAACCCCAGTGGCCTCATGTCCTTATGACATATTTCCTCTTGTAGAGCTACCCCAACATCTGGGCCAAAGTAAAAAAGCTCAAACAAAGCCCTGAGGCCCTGCCACCCCCCAGACTGAGAAATTTCGGATGCTTGCCCAGGCCGGGCAGGGTGCTTCCTCGAGTCACCGCCCTTCACCGCAGTTCAACACCCCACACCCGTGCCTGCTTAAAGTGTGGCAAAAAGGGACATTGGGCCAGGGCATGCCCCGCACCATGCACTCCAAGTACCCTATGGCCTAAATGTCAACAAGAAGGTCATTGGGGCTCTGACTGTCCTAGATCCCGTAGGAGGCCTATGGCCAGGGAACCCTCTGACCTTCTGGGCATGGCTATCAATTGACGGAGACTTGGGTCCTTGTCCCTGGCCATAAATAATCAGGAACCCAGGGGGCGGATTCAGGTGGATAGGTGCAAGGTTGATTTTCTTCTTGACACCGGGGCTACCTTCTCTGTCCTGACAGAATTCTGGGGGCAAACAGGGCCATCCACCTCTCCTATTGTCGAGGTAGGAGGAAAGACCATCTATCCAAAAAAGACTCCCCTATTACTTTGTTCTATAGACAACTTCCCATTCTCTCAGACGTTCCTAGTTATGCCCCAATGTCCAGTTCCTTTGCTCAGCTGAGATATTCTCTCTAAATCCAATAAAACAATCAGCATCCGGGCTCCTGGCATCATTCAGGCCCCAGAATTTAGCTGTTTATCTTTTCTGGACCTTTTGGCAGAAGACTGGCCATTCTGCTCCACTTGTGAGGCTGACATGAAACACCATACTAAAAAGGACCCCTTACCTATGAACCTGGTTGACCCGATTGTATGGGATACCCACACCCCCTCCACCATTTCCTGCCCACCAGTTAATATTCATCTCAAAGATCCCAACACCTTCCTCAATCAGGCTCAATACCCCCTGTCCACAAAAGCTCTTCTGGGCCTACAACCTATTATTCAGGACCTTCTTAGCAAAGGGTACCTCCGTCCTACTCATTCCCCTTCCCAATGGGTCCTATCGCTTAGTTGAGGACCTACAACTCATCAACACCTCCCTTAAGCGCATACCTCCTTTGGTTCCCAGCCCATACACCCTGCTGTCTCAGATACCCACACTGCCACACATTTCTCAGTCATTGATTTAAAGGATGCTTTCTTCTCCAGTACCCAAGTTTAGCCCAAAACAATCAAGAACTTTTCTTCTTAATAACAATGAATCTGCTGAGAAGCAAGTCAGATATGCAATTCTATTCACAATTGTCTCCTACATAGCCAGGGGTGGGTACAAGCCTGTAATATGAGCAGTTTAGGAGGATGGGGCACAAGGATTTTGAGTTCAAAGCCAGCCTCAGCAACTTAGCAAGATCCTATGCAACTCAGTGAGACCCTGTCTCTACAACAAATATAAAAAAGGTTGGGGATATGGCTCAGTGGTTAAGCACCCCTCAGTTAAATACAAAACAAACAAACAAACAAACAAACACCCTTAGGTATAATCTCCCCAAAAGGAGAAAGACCTCTGACAATGAAAATTATAGAACACTGAAGAAAGAAATTAAAGAAGACATTGGAGAAGAAAAAAATTGAAGAAGAAATTGAAGAAGCCCTCCCATATTTTTGTACACCCAGAATCAAAAATGCCACATTACCAAAAGAAATCTACAATACATAGATAGGATATAATTTCTCATTTTTCTGAGTTTACATGTTGTAAAATCACATTGGTCATGCAGTCACCTATATACACAAGGTAATAATGTCTGTTTCATTCTACTGTCCTTCCTATCCCTACTGCCCTCCCTTCCCCTCCCTTCACTTCTCTCTACCTAATCTAAGGTAACTCTATTCTTCTCTAGTGTTCCCCCTTATTGTGAATTAGCATCCACATATTAGAAAAAAATTCGACGTTTTGTTTCTTGGGATTGGCTTATTTCGCTTAGTATAATATGCATTATAATATCATGTATAACTAATTAAAACAAACTAAAAAAACTAGTATGATAATAAGCAAGTTGGAACATAATGAAACAATACAGGCCTGCATCAAATACGCATGAGACTTCAAATCCAATGTTTATTGCATGTAGAATTAAAGGACTTAGTATGGAAAATATCAGGGCCAGCCCTGCTCACAATTTTGCCAAATTGCAGAAATTCTTAAATGTGTTGAGGCCAAAATACAATGGTTCTGGCCTCGACACATTTACAGGGAAATGTGTTACAGAAAAAAAATGTTTGTAACTTTCATTTCTAAAGTGAGAGATCAGCTATAGTAATAGAAGTTTATTTATGACCACTGTTTAGAATTTCCAGGTCAGGTGACTTGGTTGTTCTTTGAGGAAGATACTTAAAATTTTGGTTACCTCATGAGCATTAAAATGTTGGGGGCAAATCATTTGTAAATCTCTGCAAAGGGTGTTGAAATAGTTAATAAATCACAGAGGAAAGAAAAAAAAAAGAATCTCAAGAATTGATGCAATCCCCATCAAATAGCAATGACATTCTTCACAGAAATAGAAGAAACTGTCCCCAAATTTTAATGACAAGTAAAACCTAAAGCCATTCTGAGCAATATGAACAATGATGAAGTGCTGGGGATGTGGCTAGTGACAGAGCACTGGAGCAGTGTGTGCCAGCCCTGGGTCTAATCCCCAATACACACACACATACACAAAGGTTAATGGTGGGATGGGGCTGGGGCTCAGAGGTAGAGCCTCACATGTGTGGGGGAGGCACTGGGTTTGATCCTCAGCACCACATAAAATAAATAAATAAAATAAAGATGTTGTGTCCATCTAGAATAAAAAATAAAAATAAAAGAGAATAATGCTGAAATTATCACATTTCCCAGTGTCAAATCATTTTAAAGAGGTAAAGTAACAAAAAATTGTGTTAATATCAAAAAAGGCATAGATCAATTGATTGGAATAGAAGACACAGAGAAACACCCACAAAGAGTCAGATGATCCTTAACAGAGACACCAAAAGGAAATATTGGGAAAAACACAGCATATTTAATAAATGGTGCTTGGAAAAGTGAAGAATGAAGCGAAATTCTGCACAAATATCATCTCAAAGTGGACAAATAACATAGGAATTAGACCATAAACACTGTGACTACTAGCGGAAATCATAGCACCTACTCTCCACCATATAGATCCAGGCTTGACTTCCTCCATAAGACTCCTGTTGCTCAGGAAACAAAACCAAGAGTTGATAAATAGAATGGCTTCCAGTTAAAAAGCTTCTGCACAGCAAATGAAATGAGACAGAGAGGGCTTACAGAACAGGAGAAAATCTCTGCCAGGTACTTTTCTGACGGAGGAATAACATCTAAAATATATAAAGAACTTAAAAAATCTTAACACCGATAACCACATAACCCAATCAATAGATGGGCAAATGAACAATCATTTCTCAAAAGGAAAAATACAATGGCCAACAATTTTATCAAAAAATTTTCAACATTTTTAATAATATGAGAAAAGCCAATCTAAGCTGCACTGAGATTGCATCTCACTCCAGATAGAATGGAAGCATCAAGGACACAAATAATGATAAATGCTGGCAGGTGTGAGGGAAAATGAACACCTACACACTACTGGGATTGGAAATTAGTACAACCATCATGGAAATCAGTATGGAGATTCTTCAAAAGACTAAGAATGGAACCACCATATGACCCAGTCATGGACTCCTTGGTATTTACCCAAAAGAATTAAAATCAGAACATGATAGCAATATAGGACACCCATATTGATGCCAATTCAATTTACAAAAGTTAAGTTATGAAACCAGCCTGGTGTCCACTGACTGATGCATGAATAAAGAGAATGTGGTAATACATAAAATGGAGTTTTAGTTATAAAGAATAACTCTATTATGTCATTTTCAAGAAAATGGAACTAGAGATCAGCATGCAGATTGTAACAAGCCAGACTCACAAAGTCTGCTTTCTCTCCTGAGTGGAACATATGCAAAAGAAGAATAAGATAGGGATACAACCAAATAAAAGAAAGACCAGCAGAGTAGAACCAGCATTGTTCATATTGCTCACAGAACACTCACCGTTTCCTTGGATGAACCATTGAAAATATCGTTCCAGAGACTCTGGTTTCTTATAATCATTTGTCATAGTATAAAAATAATAACCTGACACAAGAACATCTTTGGGATTTCTCATGATATATATCACCTGAAATTAAGGAAAAATGAGACAATGAAAAATCAGCCTAAGTCAGTCATTTCCCACCTTAATCTGGATCTTTATCCCAGCCGTTTTTACTTAATCTCTATTAAGCATCAATGGATTCCTTTAATGAATTAGTTATTTCATTCATTCATCAAATATAGATTTTAAAGTTCCTATTATATATTCATGTTCTAGGAATAAAAGGGGAAGACCGTGTCTTTTCTTTCTGGGGTATTAATTTACTCCAGATGGGAAGCTGCTGGAAAGTTTGGTAGGTTGTGAAATGTGTGTGCTTTCCATAATGATCACTAACAGCAGAATGGATTAATCAATTATGGTATATTCAGATTCATAGCAACATACAGTCATTCTCACACTCAAGACCACCGAGGAATCTCCCAGATATGGCATCCATACAGCATGAATGCATTTATACAAAATTCAGGAATAAACAAAAGCAATCTGTAGCTATAGTCCAGGAAGGGCTCCCCTCAGGTGGTGGGTATCAATTGATAAGATGGGGCCTGTGGGGACTTTCTGGATGGTAGAAATGTTACACATCTGGTCTAGATGATAGTTCCCAACTGTGTATGTCTATATGTGCATATTAAGAGGCTAGTGTTCAAGATTAGTAAACACACACACGTGCACACACACACACACACACACACACACACACACACACACACACACACCACTTGGGACTTGAACACCAGAAACTGACTTTGTATTTGCTTCAACTCTCTTGGTGTTGTTATTGGAGGTCTCATGTCTCCTTAGACCTCAGTTTAATCAGGCAGGGGTTAATGAAACCCAAGAGGAGACATAGAAATGGGTCTATTGGGGCAGTCTCACTGTTAGACACTTTATGACATTTCCAAGCAGTTTTCTTGGTGTTGTTTAAATAAAAACATAAAAAATTTAGAAATCAACAGTTTAAGAAAGCATGTTTCCAAAATTAGTCTGTTGCACGTTAGATCTTGGATATCCATGGTCTATGCTGATCATCTGTCAGCCACGGGGAGGTTTTAGTGTCTGCTGATCACAAAGCACAGTGACCTGCAGTGGGCTTCCGTGGTTAAAATTGCTAATCATGACTCCTGAGAAGTCCCCTGGAGTTATGCGTTTATTAATGGGCAACACTGATTTAGATGCTTGCACCTACCTTTTATTGAATGGATATTGGCTGCCATCTTTAAGACCTGAAAAGTTGGGATACTCTAGTGTAGATGAAATTATGAGTTCGGGTTGCACATAAGATGTAGGTTCCTAAGATTCTGCCAGTATCCAGTCACTTTACCCCTTAATTCATGGTAGGCTAATCTGTGGAATCATTCTCATCCTTGTACTCAAGTGTGGTCTGTGTTGTGGCCACATCAACCTTACTTAATGTCTGAGAATTGCAGGTCTCATCTAACCTATTCAATGAGCAGATAGCCAGCAAGATCTGCAGGGTTATCTAGGCACATGGAAGGGAAAAAGCATTGATTGAACATTAGGCACTGACCTTGGCCTTGGAAGTGAATAAAGACTTGGGGAAGAGATGCAAGGGGAGGTGAGAGGACAGGAGCCGTGGGCCCTCTTTCTCATTTGACAATCTGTAACCCATATCTGTCTCTATCATGGGTGCCCGTTCCCAGATGGGCACAGATTGAATCCACGTGGTATCACCTTTGGAGTGAATCAGGCAGAGAATTTCAACCAACCAGTGGGTTCCTAGATGAGGAGGGAAAATGGTGGTCAGTCATTTCAATCTGAACTCTGACATAAAAATATATTGTGATAAAATGCATAACATAACTTTACCATTATATGCATTTTAAGCACGCAGTTGTGTAGTGCTGAGCAGTGTTAAGCAAAATCCTACTTTGCTCACCGAATGTCCAGAACCTTTTCATCTTGAAAATCAGAAACTCAGCTTATTAAGAACAATCCTATTTATTCCATCTTTCAGCCCCTGAACCCAGAATGGGGTTTTCTCTTTCTATGAATGTGACTACACTAGATATTTTGCACTTGTGGAAGAATATAGTATTTGTCCTTTTGTGTTAAAATATGACATCTAGTGTGATGCCCTCAATATTGGTGGATGTTGTAGAAGGTGTCAGTATTACCTTCCTTCTAAGGCTGAATCATATTCCATTGCATCATCATGCCACATTTTGTTTATGTATTCACCTGTCAACAGATTTTTGGTTGCTTCCACCTCTTGTCTCTTTGCTGTGATCATTTCAATATGTTTCCAATTCCCTTAACTCTCCAGTGCTGTGCCACTTCCAATGAAATTGGCCTGAATCCTCACCCAGTTTGCAATTTTTCTGCCCCCAGTCCCACTGCTGTAGATGCATGTCTTTTTAGTCCCTTGAATTTTCCAGGCTTGTTTTTGATTCCCAGCAATTGTCCATGCTTACTCTCTAAAATATTCCTTTCACCACATGACCTCCCGTTCAGTCTGTTGACCTGCTATTTTGCTATTACAATTTCACCATTCAACCTCTTCCACCCCTTCTCCCATGCCACCACACAAATGCCTGAATCTGCTTAGGATTTACTGCTGTATCTTCTTCCTCCAAGACCTTAGATGATCCTTGCTGAGCACTTATGTCACTCTGCACTAGTATGAATGAAAGTGGCCTGGGGCAGTGCCCCTTCCTCTACAAAGCAGGGCTCCATGGCGTGGAGAGACCATTCCATCCTCTGCTGAGTGAGTGAGGAATGTAGCCCTCAACTTTCCCATGGGGGGTTCCTGTTCTGTTTTCTTACCTGATTTTGGGAAAGACACCATTACTATATCTTCATCCTTTATCACAAACTGAGCACATACTTCTTTTATAACTTCATAGCTGGAACCAAAAACAAGGAAAGGTAACCCTTCAAACCACAAGCAGTCATCTGTCATAGTGATGAGCTGTCTGTGCGTGGTGCAGGGGTTCCAGCTGTAGTCACCATTGAACACTGTGGGAGATACTCGGAGACTAGACTTTAAAGTCAAAAGAATCATTAACTTTTTCTCATGGTCAAATTAACTGGTTGGTAAAAACAACTTGTGATGGTGATCCAAAGTTTCTTTGTATTGAGCAATTTTGGCCTCATTCAGGGCATGTATGGATCATGATCTGAGGATGATTTCACAGGCAGGACCCCAGAGCAAGTGCTGCAAGACAACCCCACTGATGAGTCCTGGACCTGAAGAAAGCCATCCTTTTCCATTTATTTGCATTTTGAAGAGTTTTCAAAATAGAAGTTTTACATGAAACTGATAGGAACTGTGTAAAAATAATAGGAGGAAGCATGTTGAGGAAGCATGGGCTGAAAACTCTTTGAGACTATTGGACAAGAACCTGCTTTAGAGTCACCAGATATGGTGGTGGGATGTAACTAGACTCCAGGGTCCAGTCCTGCCTTACCTTCTGATTAACATGTGGGAGTGTGTTTCTTGCTGTCAGTGTTTAGGGGCTGAGATGAGAGAATTTTCATATCTATCACATTAAGGATCCATCAAAGCTCTGTTTCATCTTTGGTCGAGCACTCTGAGTGCCCAGAGGACTCGAGGACCAACAGCTCCACATGTTCAAGCAACACACCCATCCAGGCAGCCCATAACTAGTGGCTCACTGATTTCAGGAATGCTGAAAGAAACACCCACGTTTAAAAATATGCTCCCCATGGGCTTCTGACAGCTAAAATGAAAACCATCTGATGATCAATGTAAACCCAACGTAGAAGGTAACAGTGTTTCATGTAGAACATTTGATAATCAGGAGTAAAAACACTTTCCACATTTCCTGCTAATTTTTGGGTGTATTAATAGAGTGAGCACTTGTGTATGAAACTAGGAGCTATTGATCCTGAATGCAAGTATGATGTGGCCACAGACTGTTGTGTGCATCCTGGGGAGAATGTCCACCAATTGGAGCATGAATATTATTCTGGCTGAAAGAAGAGTGGAATTGAAACAGGTAAAATTGCAAGGGATACATATGCTCTGGGCAGACAGAAACTATGTGCATCAAGGGAAAAGAGTTACCTTTTATACAAGGGGAAACTATTTCATGAATTAGTTTGATTTTTCATATTGTCAGATAATTCTAGAGATTTATGGCAATTACAGTGCCCCAATGAATATTAGTGATGAGGGGCCAAATATTTCTATAGCATTCTGAACACTTAATACTTGTCATTTGTTACATCATCCCACCAATCCCATGAATAGAATGAGGGAGTTATACAACCCACATACTTTGACAGAGTAAAGCTTTTAACTTCCTTATGGTTTAAAAGTGCACTATGGTTATACATAATATTGGGTTCATTTTGACACAATTATACATGCATGGAATGTAAATTCTCCAGTCCCAAGTGACTCTGTTTTTCTCCCCCACTTTTCCTCCTCTTCCTAACAGTATTTAGTTATTTATTTTTGCTTTATAGATATGCATTTAGGTGAGTTTACTGTGGAATATTTATAAATGCACACAGCATTATTTTGTTAATTTCCTTCTGTATTTCCTCACCTTTATAATCCCTCCCTACCCACTCAGTCCCCTTCTTATTTTCCACTTCTCTTCCCTCTGTGTTTATGACATCAGATCCTCCTCCATACTTTTTGCCCTTACTTTGCTCTTTGTTACCCGTATGAGTAAAAACATTCAATTCTTTCCTTTCTGATTCTGGATTATTTCATGAGCATGATGTTCTCCAGTTCCATCTATTAACCAATAAATGTTATAATTTCTTTCTTTGTTACACCTAAGTAATACTTCATTGTGTAGATATACCACATTTTCTTAATCTGTTTCCCTGTTGATGGGTACCTGGGTTATTTCCAACCTTGTTTCTTGTGAGTTATGCAGGTGTATACGTTGATGTGGCTGCATCACTATAGTATTCTGACTTTAGAGATGGATAAGGGCAATAAGTGGGATTGCTGGGTCATCTGGGGATTCCATTCCTAGTCTTTGGTGGAATCTCCATAGTTCTTTCCTGAGCAGTTGTACTAATTTGCAGTTCCACCACAATGTATGAATGTAGAGTTTCCACATGTCCTCCCCAGCATTCATTTATTATCTTTTGTTCCTGATGATTGTCATTCTGAGTGGAGTGAGATGAATTCTCAATGTAGTTTTGATTTGCATTTCTGTGATTGCTAGGGATATTGAACTTTTTTTTCATGTATTTGATGGCCATTTGATTTGTTCTTCTGAGAAGTGTCTGTTGAGTTCTTTGGGTAAAATAGTTAACTTTCTTGGAATGAGTCCATGTGTTAGGAGTGTGGTACACTTACAGTTCCTTTGAAGTACCCTCTGCCTTATATTTGTCTCCACTTGCCACTCAAGTTCATTCTCTCTTCTGGTTTATATAGCTGTCACCCGAATCCATGCTTACTACTGAACTTCACTGCATGCTCTGTCCTGGACCAGTGTTATGTATGAGGGACAGCAGAGTATGGGATCCACTGGACTACAATGTTCTCTGGGTGACCCTGAGTCAAGCTCTGTGCTGCAGTACCCCCAATTCTCAGTGTTAACCAAGTTCCTGCTGTAAATGGAAAATACTGGTGACCCCTGAGTCAGTGCTGCACTGGCCACAGTTATCCCCAGTGCCCTCGAGTGCCTGCTGTGTACAGTCTGCAGTTATCCCTGGTGGCACAGGAGGCTCTGACTGTACTGCTGCAATCTGTCCTTCCTGTCTAGTCCCTCTGCTGGGGCTGTCCAAACATGGCACCCAGGAGATTCCACTAGAAAATGATGATGCAGATCCCAGTACTTCATCTAGTATAAAAATCGATATAAAGTGATGAAATATCTGGGATCAGATCTGAAATTTATTATAATAGTTAGAAGAACACATATCATCAAGTCTTCCACCTATAGATAAAGGCATTGACTTCCTCAGAAAGCCTCCTAAAATATAGGAACAAAGCAAGTAATTAACAAATAAAAAGGTATCAAATTAAAAGAATTCTGCACAGCAATGGAAGTAAGTTTGTGAAGAAAGACAACAAAGAATTGGAGAAAATTTTTGCCAGCTACCCTTTTGACAGAATGTAAAAGAAACTAAAAAAAAAAACCTTATCATCAAAACCCTGAAGAGTCCATTGTGTAAATGGGTAAGTGAACTAAAGAGGCATTTACTACAGGAAGAAACCCGGGTGACCAAGAAATATGTGAAGCAATGTTCAATAGCCTTAGCAATCAGGAAAACGCAAATCAAAAGTGCAACATGGTTTCATCTCACTCCAGTTAGAATGTCAAGTGTGAAGAAGAAGAAGAATTTTTTTCTGAGGGCGTGGGAGATCTGAGCACCTATGCACTGCTGGTGGAATTAAAAACTACTATGCACGTAGAATGGAGATACTTCAAAAGCCTAGGAATGGAGCCAGCAAATGACCCTCCTCAATTACACCTTGGTATTTATTCAAAAGAACCAAGTCTCCATATTATATAGCGATACATGCACACCCCCCCCTGTTTATACCAGTGAGAATCATAGTAATCAAGTTAAGGGAAACAACCTGTTAACTCATAAATGAATAAAAGTGGTATATATATTCATAGCAGGAAGGTTTATTAAGCCATAAAGAAGAATGAAATTATGTCATTTGCAGGAAAATGAATGAAAATGGAGAACATCTTGTTAAGTAAGATAAGTAAGACTCAGAGTGTCAGTGGGCATATATTTATCTCATATGCACAAGTTAGAAATGGAAAAGGAAATAGAAGAGACAGTAAATACTTGGAGATGAATCAGGGAAGGGAGGATAGGAGGGAAGAGGAAAGTGTGTTCAGCAATGAATCAGACCTAATTATGCTGTGTGCATGTGGGGACATATCACCATGAGCCCAACTATTCTGTGTAATTATAATGCATTAATAATATAATGATAATTATTATACAATAATATAATAATATTTTTACATTAATGTACTAGTGTAAAAAGGAAGCAACTTTATTGAAAGTCATAACACCTTCAAGTGAGAGAGTTGCACTTGGGTTCCAAATATTACACACAGAATCACCAATCACAGATCAATGAAAATTGCCATTAATTTGGACAGAGATGGGAAGGTGCAGTGAGTCAGTGTTTATCTTTACAAAAGTGAAGACATTTCTAACAGTTTGCACTTAGAACATCTTGCAATGCAGCTCTCAGTGGAGAATATTTGAGCATCATCCTCAGGTAGACTAAGGTTCAATCCTGGAGTTTTCACATATTAGTGGGCACGTTAGGTAATGCCTCACTCTGCATCTGTGACAGGGGTTGTTGAAAACATGTGTTTCATTGATGCACAGGTGTTCAGATTTCATAGGTGTGTCTTGATTTTTTTGTGATATTTATGGGGATTTATTTGGGGCCTCATGGAAACTAGGCAGGAGCTCTACCCCTGAGTTCTATCCCCAGTATATAGTGATCCATATTTTGGGAAAGAGTCCAAATTCCTCTAGAGCTGAGTATCAATCCACCCCCATGCAAACCCAGCAGACTTCCTGCCCTTCCCCAAACAGCCCCAATGCAATTTGATTTCAGGTAATTTAACTTTTGGCAAATCCACTTCACTGGCTCAGAGGGCCCCTCTTCATTTTCTAAAATGGTGACTCTGACAACTCTGTCTCTCACCCTTACCATGGCTTCCTATTCCACAAGTAAGTGAGTATGTCTGACTTGATACTCTACAAGTGTATCCTTACATACATTTATTTTGACATTTGTGAATTTGGGGGTTTATTATCTTTCTCCTCAACTACACTGCATACTCTAGGAGGGGGGGATTTGCTTTAGCAATCAGTCAGATAAGACATTGCCTGAAATTGAACACATGGTCAACCACCATTGGTTGAATTAAGAAGACCAGGCCTTCCTCATAGATTTGGTCTGAGGAATTTGTGACATCATAGGGAGAGAGCATAAACAGGGAAGAATGACTGTTGTTGTCCATGAGTCCGGTACCTATGACTTGCTTTGTG